AGCAACCTATATCGGGTCAGTTGCTGGGTTTTGATCCTAAAAGGAATACCTTAATTTATTAAATGTCTCATTTCTCATTTGATGTTGGAAAAGAGCCCCAGAAAAGTTATATAATCTATACTAGGCCAATCTGTTAATAAATAGGAATGTTTGTGTTTCAACAAAAAGTTGAGTTTTCTATTCACTATCGCCTTGAAGATGTTATTTGGTTTGTGATTATAATTCAGGGGACTTTGCATGGGGTACATTTCTTCAGTTGCCCCTTTTTGGAGAGCTAAACTGTAGGGGAAATTCCTGCCAGGGTATTAAGTGAACTGTCAAACTGTCAGATGCCTCCCCCTCTTCCCCTCCCATGGTTCTTGAAATGAAGCTGAGGGTTAGCCTCCTGCATGCCCCAAAGTATATAGCCTTCCACTCATGGTCGTTAGGAGACGGCCTTTAGCCCACATCATCTCTCTGATTCCTGTTTTCTTGAGCCACTTTGCCTCCCTCCTTTTGTTGAATAAAAGCTTGCGCATTTCTTAATAAGCTGTGTAGGTATGTGTCTTTACCCTTTTCTGTTCTTTTAAAAAGTTGATGGGGAAAAGGTCATCAAGTGTGGAGACATACGCCTGCCATCTCAGCACTTGGGAGACAGGGGTAGGGGTAACCCTGTTTTTAAAAAATGTAACTTTGTTTAGTTATGTTTGTGCTCTATATGCTTGGTCCTTTAAAGTACAAAGGTGGGTATCTGAGGTCACTTGCTGCCACCTAGGAAAGCTTCACAGTGGTGGAGGATGTGATTTCATCAGGACACAGTCACGAGCTTCAGTTAAAATGTAAAATGCTTTCCTTAACCCCAGGATAAAATAAAATTTCATTTGCTTTTACTTTTCTGTAATAATGCCAATAAGAAGATATTGCCAAGGACACAAGGGACGCAGTTTTGTAGCTGAACAAATTGACGGTAAATCTACTTGCCAATTCCTCAAAACACTATTAGGAGCACACATGGGCAAACTCACTCTCCACCCTCTGGTGTACTGTTCTGAGAAAAGTTGAGATGCTTCAAGATGACTTAACATCCCACTACTGAGATTCACACATCCTCAGAACCTTCATCTCTGCACCAAAGGAAGATGTTCATTTGAATCACGTTTATTTTGATTAGCATTGACTGGCGACTGGCTCTGAGATCTGACTATACAATTGACCTCATTGTAAGCACTTTAATTCAGTGGAGCGATGTCAGTACTCTCCCATTTTTCAGAAGAGAAATCATGGCACAAAGAGAATAAAGAGATCAGGCAAGGCCTCTTGGCTAGTGAATGACTGCGTGACTGCAGATCCCTTTCTGTCTGCCTGCGCACCATACTGCTGCCTCTTGCTGCATAAAACAAACACCACTGTGAACCATGATGATAACTGTGGCACTGTTTGTTGAATCTTAGTTGTGTTCTTAAGCTCCTAGGAGGTATTTTTAAGACATGATTTCATTTAATCTTCATAACTTATGGATTTAGGAGAGAGAGAGAGAGAGAGAGAGAGAGAGAGAGAGAGAGAGAGAGAGAGAGAGAGAGAGAGTGAGAGAGAGTGATTGTGTAGGAGCCAGGAGCCAAGCTTGGGTGTCATTCTTCAGGAGTTGTATACTTGCCCAGGGGTCACTGATTAGGCTAGGCTGGCCAGCGAGCGAGCCAGGGATCCTTAGGTCTCCACCTCTCCAGTGCTGGGATTACAAGGTTTTGATGCCATGCCCAGATTTATGTGGGTCTTGAGAGTAAACTCAGGTCTTCCTGCTTGCATGGGCAGCACTTTACTGATGAGCCATCTTCCTAGCAGGATTTTCTCAGATTTTATTATGTAGTTAGGAAAACTGAAACTCAGAGTACTCAAGGAATTTGTTTAGACTATACTTGGAATTAAATCCCTCACCCTACTACTCATTATTATCATTATCATTATTATTATTATTATTTCCCTGCATTGGTCTCTGATCCAGAAAGTAGAGAGCTACAATGTTCCCAGTAGCGCTGCAACCAATGTCAATGACTAGCTAACCAGGGGACATTGACTACCTTCTTGCCTTGTCATACCTATTACATTGTATTTTGTTGTTGTTGTTGTTTGTTTGCTTGTTCGTTCTTTTCAAGGCAGGGTTTCTTCAGAGCTTTGGAGCTTGTCCTGGGATTCACTCTGTAGACCAGGGCTTGTCTTGAACTCACAGAGATCTGCCTGTCTCTACCTAAAGGCATGCACCACCACTGCCTGGCTAAATTGTTAATTCTAGTGACTACTCTCTGTCCTTTCAATTAATAATTATGAGAGAGCAAAAGAAGAAAAGCATGAAGAAGCATGAGGGTATTGTGGCTGAGCAGTCTAAGAAAAGCATGAAGGGGGAAGAGAATTTTCTCTGTATTTGTTATGACTAGAGGCTTGGGGCAGCAAAATGGCAGAAAAGCTCCTTCTGCAACACATCCACACATTGCATCTATGCCTTTACTGGGATCTAATTTCTGGAAAACACAGATTCCAAGGCAATCAAGTAAAATAGCAAGACCCAGGTGGTGAGATTTCTTGCTGTTGTGATCCGAAGGTCAAGAGTCTGAAGGAGATTCAGGCATAGACAGAGGCTGATTTAGCAGCCATGAGTGTGGCCTGCAATAGATGACTCATTGATGGCTAAGAACAGGCTTGGGTAAGCTAAGCCTCTGTCTGAAGTTCAGAAAACCAGAGAGAGTCGGTACTTAAACCCATCCCTGTGTTGGCCTGAAGGCTCATTTAATTCTCTTAAATCCTGTCTTTTATATTTCAGGTGCAGAAAGAACCTTAGGGAGTGAGGGCAAAGATAGACATTTGGCTGACAATGCTCCCACTTGATGGTTTCTGTGTGGAAAGAATCTTCCCATCTGTCCATGTTACTATCAATAAACCTTGCTTCTCAAACCTAGGTTTACACAGTAACGCCATTTTTCTTGGATAAATTTCCAAATATATATAGAAAAAGAGTTGATGTCAAGAACTCCAATAAAAGGTTTCTGAACATTCAAAGCTTGTTTTCTTCACATCTGTCTGGGAAACCTCTTCAGAGGCTTTAAAAAATTAAAAATAAACTGAGTGTGGCAATCCTAGGTGACAGGGTATGATAAGCAAGGCAAATTGTACTAACCTGGTTCCATATATTCAATTTTTTAAAATCACATTTCACATGACTTTTACCCACTTTTAAGGTAGTAGATATTCACCTTTGGAAATATGTTTACTATAAATACAAATAAGGCATCCTTATACAACTTGTAAAATAATAATGAAAAAAAGACACTAACATCAACTCTACCTTGGTGAGTATTCAACTTGGGATTCTTGTGGGCTGGGAGAGAGATTATAGGGATAGAATTAAAGGTGGGAACTCTGGCTCCTAAGAAGTGACCACTGGCTAATCAGCCACCAAAGCATTTCAAAACTAAGGCATAGTAGTCTCTTAGAATAAAACATTTCTAATGTGGGGGGCATGATAGTATATTTCACTTGGATTGTAGAACAGAAAAATTAGAGGGAAATGCCTATCTGTAGATAGATTTGGTTTTGACCTTCAATGGTTAAAATTTACATCTTGAGTTTGCTTTATTTCTGGGCATAGCTCTAGGAAGCTGCTTCCAGCATGAGCCTGAAGCAGTATGAGTTATAGATAATAAAACTAACTTTTCCTCCATCCCATTACCACAGCCTTCCAGAAATCTTAATATGCTTTTGAGAGCCTCAACTAGGAGCTGGCTGCATAAGATGATCCTTTGATGAAAAGGAATTGGAACAAGGGTTAAAGCAGACACGGAAAGGTTACTGTAGAGGGCACAGTGTTCAGACAACCCTCCTTTAATATGTGTGGTGTGCACCTGTGATAAGATGATTCATTACATGGTGCCTCTCTTTGACAAGCTTCATCGTTCAGCCCTCGGGCCTCTGATGGGGCAATCCTACAGCCGCCCAGGAAATATAACAAGGTCGGCTTTTTCTTTCCCTGGGCTGTACATAGAGATGCTTTAGCATATAATGCATCTTTGCTTATGCTTTGTGCTTTATGTAAAATAAAAGAAACCCAACAGAGTTTAAGACATTATGAGTCTGGTTCTGGTTTAGCAGTGCAGCTGTAGTGGGAAGTTATGTAAGCACACTGGTAAAGAAATAGTGCTCTCTCTGTGATCATAGATTGGCCACACTGGAAAACTGAAGTCACTAACTGTTGAGGCTGGACTCTGCTCTCCATTGGAGGGCACCCTGGCATCATCAGCTTCCACTCTGCTCTGCTGTTTTCTGAAGCTTTTTAGGGTTACTGATCACATGACATATCGATGAACATGACATAGGTACACAAACCTAGTTGGAGAATGGGTGCTCTCCTGTGATATGGGAGGGCGTAGTGGACCTGACAGGGTAGAGACAATCAACAGGTATGCAAGAGACTTCCTGAGTCCCTGAAAATCAGCGAGAGGGCCAGGGGCTGGATGCCAGCTGATACCTAATGTCACTTTTCCTTTTGTGGCTTGAATAGGACTTTGGATTAACTCCCCACACATACAGATCTTGGATTTACTGAGGTTATTTTAGACATATCAGAGCAACCAGCAAAAGATATTAGTTTCCCTCATTACATTAGATTTTTTAGAAGTGAAAAATAAAAAAGTAAAGTGAGGTTTTGCTTCCAAAATTCAATTCTTGATTGTTTATTTCCAAGAACTTTGCAATAGAGAGAAAGACATTCTTTAACTCAGGTCATAACACTAGTCATCACACAAAACAAAACCAAAATAAAACCTTGACATTTTAGGGGGAAGAAAGAAAAATCTTGCTTCTAAAATATAGAAACATTTCCCAACCCCTCTCCTATTCTTGACGTTGCTAGTAAACATTATTTATTTGCTTCAAATAGATGCAGCTACATATCACTGTCATGCAAAAGAAATTCATTTTCTTTCTGAGTTCAATCTGCCATAAAAATTCACTCTTGGCTCCCATCTCCCACTCACCTGTCCTTGTGCATTAGTAACTAGTTGACCTGTGACCCCCTGAAGGCTGGAGAGGGCATTGCCAAAGGCCTGTGAGCTTGCTATGGAGCCCATGGCTGCTGCAGCAGCGGCGGCCTGACTTGCTAGAGGATTATTAACCAGCTGCAAAGAAAGAAAAGATGAGGGTGAAAACCACCATGAGGCAGAGTAACCACACAACACAACACTCCCTCCAGCTTGCTCATGCAAAGAGCCCCAAACCCACTGCAAGGTCCCAGTAAGCAATTCCTTGACTGATCATAGGAGGCCAGGGACAAGGTGGGGGCTGGACTTTGCCCACTTATGCTGACTGCTCTGTGGAGCCTTGGCTGAGGGACAACCTATGAGAGATTTAGCCTGAATCTGGGGGAGATCTCAAAATAAAATTCCAGGGAAATGTCAGCCTTCTTTGAAATCATCCTGAGGATGAAGCAGGACGGGTGAAGGAAATGGATGTCCTTGGCGTTGTATATGGATTTATCACTTCCATGTAGGAATCACAGTTTCTTCAGGGCCATCTGGGTGAGGCAGCCTTCCCACCTCAGTTCCCTCTTTTTGAGGTTAGAAGCAACCAAATTCAGCAGAAGCCCAGCGTCATCGACTTCAGAGAGCCTAGACACTTGGGCCTTATGTTGAGGAGAGATTCAAAGTTACTGGTCAATGGTCAGGCTGACATTTGCTTCCTGCTTTACCTAATGTGTGGCCTCTTTCCTGGGACAAAGGTTTAGCAGGAAGGAATAAATAGAAGTGGGAGAGAGACCAGCACAGAGAGGAGGATTTGGCTGCCAAATTCTGTTTTTCCATGGAGACCAATTCAATATTCTTTATCCTGCCAATTTTCCACCCCACAGGTTTTCAGGCCTTCTGACCATGAGGCAGAAGGGTGGCATGAACTAAAATCTGCATTTAGGTTAATGACTAGATATAAATTCAAGAAACATTTAAACTATTTTCACAGTATTGGTTTTGATACATGAATTTCATTTGTATTTATTCTAGGGTGTTATTTTTTTCCTCCGTATAGTTTCTCTCAAGTACAACAATTGTGTATAATAATGCATTTTCCATCACTGGTTTCCACATCCATGAAATGCCTGCATTTTAGCAGAGACCTGCCAAGACTAAGACCTGGTGGGAAAGAATTAAAGTCATACTTAGTTCAAGTCTTGGCTCTTCCAGAGCTCCTCTTTCATTATTGTTATTTTTAAACTTTCTTTCTACTTTTTAAACATTCTTTATTCTTCTCTACTCTCTCTCTGTTTTTCCCCTTTCTTCTTTCTTTTCCTCTGAAAAGATGTTCTGTGCCTTAATTATTTTGGAAATTTGCCCAGAGTTTTGCATCATCTGTTGAGGAAGGAAATAATAATCAGGGGAAATGAAAAAAGGGAATTTAATAACTTTTATTAACATACACCCTTATCTGATTCTTTATTTACTTAGAACCAAATCTTATTGACCCAGCACATTGTTTTAGAAAGATAAATCCACTTCTATCTCATTACTTTGTGTTTGTTTGTTTGTTTGTTTTTATCTCTCTCCTAAGAAAAAACATGACTTTTTTTTTTAAGGAGAAAAAAATGTTCTTTGGCCTACTGGGAAACCCTGTCCCATCCTAGATTACTGCCATGGGATTTAACATTGAGGGTAGCCTTGATCTTGGTATTTTGAGTATGTCTTTAGAGTAACTATGGCTGAAGAGTGGGATGTGTAAAGAGGACATACTCCTTGTTGTAGTTTGAATGCCCACAGCAGATGGTTTATATTGTATTCTTGGAGAACAGCGGCTCTAGCTCCCAGTTCAGACAGTGCTCACTGTCAATCCATTCTGAACTCTTTGGAGAAGGTTCTGTGTGTACTGTTTTTATGCATGAAGCTGAAATCATAACAAAATTCCTGAAATCCTAAAATATATTTCTTAACCTCAAAGAATGATTAATTTATGTGAGGCAGTTGGTCTTGATTTTGAAAAGGCAATTTTGTCTATGATTAGGGGCAAAATTTTTAAGTTTGTACATAGAATATGCTATCTTTAGAAGATAAGTAGTTATGCCTACTTAAAGAAGAGCACACAATTTTCATAATTGTAAAGTACTTCTCTGGTATCTTCTAGGCGAACCCAGGTATCATCTGGGTGTGACACAATAATGGAAATTGAGAACTCCCTACGTCTAAAACACAATATGTCTAAGACACAATAGTCCTTTGTAGTTGTTGTAAAGTCTGATACTTCACAAAGAACTCATTTTGAATGTAAAGCAAAACAATTGCTTAAAAAGACTTCTGCGTCTTTGTGTTTAAAGGTTAAAAATGGATAATGAGTGTTTTAGGAGATTGTTCAATCACCACAAACATATGTTTGATTACTGACATTGAACATTTCCTCTGTATCCTGGTGATATAATTTCACAGCCCTTAATGACATTTGTATGTGTCTCTATGTATGAATACATGCGAGTGTGGGTGCTGGCATGTATTGTCTTTCCATCTTAAAGGGGAAAATGCCAATTTGGATGATTATTTTTTTGTTATTGTTTGTTTTGCAGAACCAACCAAAGGCCTTGTATATGCTAGACAAGTACTTTCTCACTGATCTATATACCTCTAGCCCTGGATGACTTTCTTAATTCCTGTCCAGCTAGCTTCCTGCTTCGTATTTGTGAATGGTGCCTGACTCCAGGGAGAAGTCTGGCTGGCCATGCTCAAGAGCTAGAATACTGACACCCAATGTGGCCCTCATGATACAAGGCAGTATAAAAGTGACTTGGATAGTGTTCATGGTGTATACAGCTTCACAAATACTTCTTGGCTCTTCTTTCTGTGACTTCCTGGGTAGTGATGCAGCACCATTAAGATAAGTGGAAGGGGAGGGGGAAGAGCCATCACCTTAGGCCATGTCACTCTGTGTTGTTCACAGTCATGTCACATTAGCAGCGTTCTTATCACCATTTCTTCTTGATTGGAGGCTCAGGGTTGATTTGGACAGCTGTGGGCTCATGCACAATAAATGCATATAATGAGCATAGTGATGTTTTAGGGCCATCAGGGCACTTTGAAGGGGCTGCCAATCTTATGCCTTCATACCTTTAATTGCCAATGTACCTACCAGGAAAAGGCAGCCCGGAAAAAATCTGACTGTATTACATAGTGTGTTTTCAACAGATCAGTTCAGGACATGCTGATTTTAGTGTGTTCCTGTTATAAATACAGGAGGGCTCAGAGTAAGGATTTGTATCGAATAAGACTTTCCACTTTATGTCCTGAGCACATCAAGCCCTGGCTATGACTACAAAAGCAAATAGGCTCAGTAGATGTAAGAAACCCAAGTCCCTCTTTTTTTTCCTGGCTAAAATAGGTGGGAAAATGATAGCATTCATAAGAGTATGATGAGAATCAAATGAGAGTATGCAGGTAAGAGTTTTAGATATACAACCATAGCTTACACTGACAATATGCATTTTACTTTAGTATTTTTTTTTTTTTGAGCAGGGTCTTCCTTTGTAACCCACCTCCAACTTGAGATAATCCTGCCTTCGTCTCCCCAGTGCTGTGGTCCTAGGCATTTGTCTCTGTGTCTGGCCCTGTTACTTTTAAAGGTCTGCTTAGGGAAAATACTAGCCAACTGACATGGTAACTAGATGAGGTGAGTCCTATAATTTTAAAAAGGTAAGAGTAGAAGGTAAACAAAACAAAAAAATATATTTTTAGGTGTATATCACCAGAAGGTATACAAAACAACAACAACAAAAAAGGATTTGAAACAGTTGCCACCACTTTGTCTCATATCTCTCCTGTTGGATAGAACTTGTGCATTTGTAGATAGAGCAGCACTCTGATTCTGGAACCAGGATTGGTAGGTGACAGAGAAGTCAGAGAAGACACAGCTTTCTTTATCATGCATTATCCCCAGACTTAGTTTATAATATTTTAAGACTGCCTTAAAGCATTCACTTTGCAACTTAATTCCTGGTTTATGTCAAAACATTGTGAAGTAATTTATCTTACAGTTGCCTATTAGATAGCGAAGGCATGCAATAAAAAGATTAGAGAAAAATAACCCTTGGTGCTTACGATGATCTCTCTCTCTCTCTCTCTTTCTGGTTTCATGTAGTCCAGGATGGCACCAAATGTTCTGTGAATCCAAGGATCACCTTGAACTCCTGATCTTCCTTGTCTCTACCTACAATTATTTATTTCTGTGTTCACACATCAGTGTGGTTATTGGGTACTGATCTCTGGAGAAAGAAATCCATATTTCCAGGTCTATATGTATTGTGCATCTCTTTGATGTCTATGGACATTAGATTGTGATAGAAAAATTAATAAAGTTTTCTAAAAAGTAGCCTTCAGAAGTGCCATGTACATCATCTACAGATGTCACCATCGCAGATGTCATTACAGGACAGAAAAATACTTCATTGTTTTTCTGAGAGACCGCTATCCTGCATCTTGGTAAAAGATTCATGTTCCTTGAAGTTGGATATAAGAAGTCACAATATTTTTAAAGAAACAGTGCTGATTAAATTATAATAGTAATATTAATTTACCCAAATAGGATAGCACAATGAGGCAGTTTAGCTGTGTCATGGTATCTGATATTTTTTGCCTATAATTCCAAGGGGATTTTCTGGATTCATAGGCTCAAAGCTTTCCTGGTGCATAATTGCCCATAGTCTATGATTCTATCATTCTCCTTATGAGCCATGTGGATTTTACAGCTTGTGGATATAGGAGCAGCTCGTTTTGCTACTAACTTTTCAGTTTAGGGTCTGGGTGTGTGGTTCCATTTCATTTGAGATAAGGACACTGAGGAATGTATTTATCACAACTGACCCCCCCATTTAAGGTTCACATGACTCCCACTGGCTGTTTAGAAACATCCATGAAAATATTGCAGTTTTTAGTTCATTTACATACATTAAGACTTTGGATTTCCTTCTACCTATATGTGGGAAAGTAGCATGTCTCTTGTGTCTTTGGGACTCTTTAACCAAATCATACTTCTGCTCCTCAATTCTTAAGATGGTGACGGGAATTCCAGTAAATACTCAGATGGGTGGCTCTATTCCTCTTAATGAGCTGCTTCTCATGTATTTTATGTTGGGATTCTTTCTCCATGGTCTGTT